CATATTACCACCAACTTATAGGTTTGGTTGATGAGTAAGAAGAAAGAACATGGTATAACTCATTATTAATAGTGCATCATCAGACATTTTGTTTTTGCGATGAAAACATTTGTGCTTGGCAGACTGTTGTTTGACTGATTTGGGGAAAAACAAAAACAAAAAAAAACTTATTTTTCATAATGTACATCTTTATTACCAGAGACTTATCAGTCTTCTATGATCAAACTATATGAAAAATGATTATTTATCACTCTGATCACCTTACAGTCTTAGTGCACCACAGTTTAATAAGTCAAGACCAACTTAAAGTGGTGTTGAAGGAGGGACACGGTCTGACTGTTGTTTGTTGTGACCAAAAGTTTTAAGAGGAATATAAATTGAAAGGTGGTACCTGCAGGGTTTGAAGCACACGCATTCTTCATTTCAAACACCTGTAGTGTTTGAAATGAAGACACTACCAAACAGGAGCTTTTAGAGTCTCCAGAATGTCACTAAAGGTGCTGTATGATGCAGTAACCACCCATGTCTCCTTTTCTCTGTACGTTTTCTGCTTGAGCCTTTTCAATTCAAAGTTAGACTGTGACTACTTTTATTCCCCGTGTCTAAAGGCGTGAAGTAATTACCGGTATGTTTTCACCCATTCCTGAGTGTGTGCTCATGTATTGTTTACAAAATCTCTCATGAACCAGTTGATGGATTCAAATAAAATCCCCAGAAATTGATCATTTAATATAAATCTCCAAAGTGTCATTTGAAGTCAACCTCATTAAGATGTTGGCTACGGCTAAGAAACTTTAGCAAATACAAATTTGCATATAACACTGCTAATTTGCCAGATAGATGGTTACATTTCAAAGTAAAGTGCTATGTGTTGTCATCATTGTATGTTCCCATACAATGGCAAAATTGTTTTTTTGTATTTAACCCATCACATCTAGGTGGAGCAGTGGGCAGCTATGTAAGCACCCGGGGAGCAATTAGGGATTAGGTGTCTTTCTCAGAGACACCACGACATAGGATTGGCTTGGTATGAAATCTGGGACTTTCGGGTCCTGAGTTGGCTGCCCTGCCTCTACCCCATCTTGGCCCCAGATTTTGGTGTGGTAGTGGCTGAGAGTCATTCCCGACACATACTTTAAGTGCTACACATTGCACAATATCTGTCCTTACTTTGGCATTAACTGCAAAGTCAACACTGTCTGTAAACTTTCAAACTGTTTTATGAACAACTTAAGACTTTTTAATTAAGCTCCCAGAACATGATCGTTGACTGTACGTCAAAAATAATTGACATTAGCAGTCAGTCTAATTTAAGATGGCTTCTGCAGCTACATCTTATCAATTTTACCAATGCTGAGCTAAACTTGATGTGGTAGAATCAAAGTCTTTCTCAACACAACAGGGTCTTCTCTTACTCTGCTCCTGTATCCTGGAATTCCTTGCAAAAAGATCTGAAGCTTTCAACCTTGACCGCTAAGCGGTTTTAAACTACTACTCTTCCTGGTGTAAACCAACAGATGTTCCAGTTTTTAGTATTATACATCACTTTATAATGTAGCTGCTTTTGTTTTGCTTTTTATTTAATTTCCTCTGTTTGCTTTTCATTTTATATGCTTTTTATATGATTGTCTATTCTTGTCTGTACCTCATCTGTGTTCTTTGTTTAAAACAGGTTTCTTGTAAATGAGTCTTTGTGACTCAATGAGACTAACCTGTATAAATAAAGGTTGAATGAATGAGGGAAAAAAAGTCTCTGAGCACCAGTGACAATTTTAGCTTCTTTTTGGGGTTGCTCAAGCAACGCCACCTGTATCAATCCAGTTGACTCGTCATCAACTGACCCAATTGGTAACCCCTATTTGTCCCTAAGTGAAATGCCCCCTTACATGCAAGAGCTTTTTATTTTTTTTAAATTTTTTTGGGGGGGGTGGGGTGGGGTTGAGAAGTGGAGTGCTACATCTGTAGCACCTTAGCTAGCGTGTCTGTATTGTGTGCCGCAATACAGTTGTCGTCAGTTGTCAGCCGGGGGTGGGGGGGTGTTGGGATGCGTGACAGAAGCGGAGCGTACTCTATTCACAACACAAGGAGAGCTGTTGGTCAGGCTACTTCTTGATGCTCTCTAAAATTATTATTGAATCAAGTGTTTACTTATGGAGGTAAACGTACCTGTTTAACGACCCGTTAAAATACACCAGAATGCAGGAAATAGCATGTACTTTTAAATTTTCTGGGGGAGGA